ATCGATAACAGGGTCTTGGTGTCGATCGATAACAGGGTCATCATGTCAATCGATGACAGGGATGGGCGGATGTGGGTGACGTGTTGCGAAGGCTTCGTGAGACATAATCTTGACGGAATTGCACTCGCGAGGGTTTTCGTCTGAGTCTATCGATCGACAGTCATCAAAGTCTATCGATCGACGTACTAAGGGTGATATCGATTGATGTTGAGAAGGTGATATCGATCGATAGTAGTCGAATGCGAAATCTCTTTCACTCTCATCATCAGATCTCCGAATCGATCTCTTCTACTACCTGTTGCCAAAATTCATCATCTAGGATGGTATTGATGTTCTGGTTGTGGGCAAACTCCTGCTTCTTAAGTGCTTCTCCTGTCTGAAACACTTGGGTCTCTAGCTTCTTCACATGGGTGCTGAGGAAATCTATATCTTCGTGGTGAAAGTGGTGTAGACAGAGTCAATATTTCCATTGAAGTTTACCTCTAACTTCTGTTGACTCTCAAGTATCTTGTCTATCACTTCCTCCAGTTTACTATCTTGGGTGGGTGGGTGTGGATTTGAGTAGAAGGTGCTTCCATACCTCCTGTTGTTGTTAGAATCGTTGCTGCTGAAGTTGTTGGGCTTCTGGGAACTCTGGTTGAAGTTGCTTCTCTGGCCTGTGAAGTTTATGTATCCTCCTTGGTTACCAGATCTCTGAAAACCAGCTCCACTAATCCCGTTTACATCTTCTTCAACAATGTCTACATCCTCCACTGAACAGATCTGCTTGTTTAGGAGCTTCTGAATGGTATCTAGCTGTGCTTGCACTTCATTGATGTACTCCTTCCCAAGGGATGCTGTAGTCTGTGTCACAAAGTTCTTTGTGCTGTTACTGGAAGCCAAGTTATCAATTAGCTTCATAGCATCTTGCGGATTCCTGGTGGTGAAGTTGCCATCACTAGTTGTATCAAGGGCTCTCTTAAAATCCAAGCTGATGCCTCTGTAGAAAGTGCAGAGCAGTTGCACTTTGTTGAATCTGTGGTGTGGGCAATCTCGCTGGTAGGATTTGAATCTGTTCCAAGTATCCTTGAATGACTCTTCAGGGTCTTGGGTGAATGTAGCAATCTTGATCACGCAGATCTCCATTCTCATCGGGTATGAGAATTATAGGCGCTACCATGTCTCGCCGGTTAGTATCGATCGATTTAGGGTGAGGTATATCGGTCGATGTCAGGTGAAGGGTATTGGTCGACGAACGGTTGTTGATGTCGATCGATGGGGAGGTAAGAGTATCGGTCAACGAACGGTTGTTGATCGACGGTGGTAAGCGGGTATCGGTTGATAGTGAGGTGCTGGTATCGATCGATGTGGAGCGTAGGTCTTTGCGGATGCTACGTTCCAAACTGTTGGGATCTTCTGAGTACAAAAGTTGCTTGTTCTTGTTGCTTATAGTACTGCTGAGCATGTACCTGAAAAAGACAAGAAAAACAAGAAAAAAATTTTGTGTCAAAAGTTTGAAAAATAAAAAGTAACAAGTAACCTAGACTGAATCAGATTAATCTAATACTAATCTTAGTTCCCCGGCAACGGCGCCTACTTTGATATCACTCAAATGTTTAACCCTAAGGAGTGAATTACTCTCTCAAATAAGAGGTTCAGTTGTAGTACTTAGGGATCGAATCCACAAGGAACTAGAGTCACAAAAGATATAATCCTAAGTGATTAAGCTAGGTTGATTAGGTTTAAAAACAATAAATAAAAGTTGTTAGCAATGGTAAGTTGCTCAAGAGAATAGGTTTTGGGTTTTAAAACAATAAAAGAAAATAGCTAGATTCAAGGTTACTATTCAGAAAATCAGGATTATAAATCTATGGATGCCTTAACGAATTGCTTGCAAATATATGAGAACTTCAATCCTTAGACAAATCTATAGCTGTCGCTAGTTAAACTCGTCCATTGATCTGATTGCCGACAGTATCGACCGCTATCGCAGTGTCGGTCGATATGCGTTGTCGTCGATCGATTACTCTATAGGAGTATCGATCGATATAGCATCAGATCGAATTGAAACTGTGTTCACCCGAGAATTCAATTAGACCGCCTATCGCACGTGCCTAAAGGAATCTGAGCTTAGCCAAATGATTTCAGGATGATGACTATTAGATTAGTCACTCCATAATTATACTTCTAGGTAGCTACTCTAGAGTAAGCATTAGGGTTCATTTGGATAATGAATATAACAATTCAACGCTCCATAGTTGAGGCTAATCACTCATAACTATTTGAACCATAAATCTAACAAATGAATCTACTCAGACATAGCCAAGTGATTCATAGCAAAAGAATAAGATGAAAAGAAAATAGTAAAAAGTTACAAAAGTTGATGTAAACTAAAAACACATGTCTTCTAGGGCTCATAGGCATAACTATAAATATGAGTACAATTAGGTTAAAAACTTGTCAGGGGCAATCTTGTAATATTGGGAGAACTTGGGCTTCAAGTCGGCCAAGTAAATCTTGCTCATCACGCTTCATATCGATCGATGGTACATGGTGTACATCGATCGATGGAGTATCTCGACTTCAACTTCTACGGAAGCGTCATCGATCGATTACACAAGGTGTGTATCGATCGATATGTATCTCTTATTGTCGGATCTTCATAGTCATCTTGGAAAACTCTCCTTTAAGCTCCATAAGGCACATAAATTATCACTTTATTCCAAAATGCTCCTGAACCTGGAAACATACCTAATAGACTCCAAAACATAGATAATTATCATAAAAACATATCACTAACATGACCAAAAGTGGGTCAAAATCATGGTATATCACACTGTCAAGTGAGTATTATGTTTATTTTAGTATTAGTTATAATATAACTGGATCGTTTGATCGAACTGAAAATTGAATTATTTTGTTCTTTACCTTTTTATGGCTAAATATATTATTATGGCATTCATTCGTACTTCGGTTTCTTGTCTTTCACCAAAAATAACAATACTAGTATATTATAATAACTTATTTATAGAAACTTGAAAAATCATGCGAAAATTTTCATTTAACTTTTCTGGTAAACAACTTTCAGATTTTTAATTTTTATTATTATTATTATACTATTACTTTGATGAATAATTTTATTTGAGGAATTTTTGATGCTTATGATTTTTTAAAGTGTTTATAAATCAGGGCAAGAGTTGATGTTTAGATCGCCATTAACCCAAATATTCAATTAGAGATGTTTATTTTTTTAGTAATTTAAGTTGTAAAAGTGATTAAGCACCAACGCTTGAACAGTTTAATTAAACATCGATGTTTTATTTATTTTTTTTGTCTATTTTCATTTTTTTAATTTGAAAATCATTAAACACTCTTTTAAGCTATTGCGTTAATGGTGTTCTTATGATCTTACGATCGTTTTCGTCTTGAGGAGATTCGAGCTTCCTAAATTAATCTATCTTTCACTATTAGACTACTAAATGATAAGGAACCAAATAAAAATATAAAAGTAAACATCACGCGGAGGAGACTTGGATTTCGTCTTCCTTTTCTCTTGAACTTCGTTAATTTTGAGCTTTTGATAAAAGTACGTGCATGCATCTCTGTACTTCTTCTTTTCAATCTTTTTCTTTTAATTAAAGTTAATGGATAACATAAAGTTGATAAGATTGGTGAAATCATGTCGCCCATCAATTTCATTCAACATGTGCATCTATTAATGGAAAAAGAAAAACTCCAAACATAGGAAATAACAATTTCATTGTCGTGTTCACTAATATTCACGTTTCAAACATGCTCAAACCAACACTTCAGTTCTACCAAGTCAAACAAAAATATTCTCCGTTTTTTTTGTTTTCTCTTCCTTGTTTTGGGTATTTTACCTCGTATAATTGCTTCCTTTCAAAAGAATTCATGAAAGCTTTAGTTTGACCTCAGTCCTTTCTCAAAAAAAAAAAAAAAATAATAATCATTTTGACCTATAATTTCTTCTATAACCATGAGTAAACTGAAAGAGATATGGTACATATATATATTTGTATATTAACTCTTTAGAATTTGAGAGACAGAACAAATGCTCAAATAAACTATGCTCACTCTGACCATCTCATAATCGTTTGTTATCAATATCGTTATCGTGTCATTTAGTTCAAGTTCAACCTCAATAAATTGCTTGGTGCTATAAAAAATATATAAAAATTAAGTGACAACAAACTGAGTATTGTTTTTAGGATAACAACGCGGCCGTGAGGTTGTGTTGTTGTATATTCAATATCTCGCATTATTTGCATTGATATAATTACTAACGATTTTTCTTGGGTTCATCCCCTAGGGTAAACCTTTAGATTCACTCCCTAGGGTGAACCTCTAGATTTACCATCAATAAGATGGTGTTATTTCATATTTGAAAAATGAAACAAAATCTTGTCAAATTATATTATGTTTTTAAAATAAAAATAGAAAAAAATAAATAAAAATAATAATTACAAAAAACGAAAAACAATTCTTTAAAAAAATATTTTAACATTATATTATATTTTAAACCAAAAAGATAAAATAAAATAAAACAAGTAATAATTGCAAAAAAAAAAATTAAAAACATTATTTTAATATATCTTTAAAATGAAACAAAATATTGTTACATTATATTTTGTGTTTAAAATAAAAAGATAAAAATAAATAAAAAACAGTATAATTGGTTAGTATTAATTTACCAAGGGTTAAGATTTTTCCAAAGGATTTATGATTACCCAAGGGTTTAGGGTTTAGGATTAGGGTTTAGGGTTTAGGATTAGGGTCTAGGGTTTAGGGTTTAGTGATAAATGTTTTTTAATTTTTTTTTTTAATATTATTATTTATTTATTTATTTATTTTTATTTTTATTTTAAAAACATAATATAATTTAACAAGATCTTATTTCCTTTAAAAAAAAATATCAAATATGAAATAACAGCATCCTATTGGTTGGTGAACCTAAGAATAACTCATTACTAACATACGTTGAACATTTTCTTACTGGTTAGATGCTAAACAATTCAGTATACAAAAGCATAGAGCACAAAGTGAACGTGAACGCTGCAAACGAGAGGTTGTCATTGGCATTTTTCTACAACCCAAAGGGTAATGTTCCGATCGAGCCACTGAAGGAACTAGTGACGGTGGATACACCAGCTCTCTACACTTCCACGACCTACGATAAATACCGTCAATTTATTCGTACGCAGGGTCCACGTAGCAAATCTCATACCGACGAACTTAGATCCCCTTGATAGTCGAACGTGCTTAGAGCACCCACAATGGGAAGTCCTTAAGGGGAGTCCTAAGGGAAAAAGAGGTTTTTTGGATTATATAAGGATATTTCAGATTTTTTCTTTAGAAAAATAAAAATTGACCATTCGCGGGCTGCCACGTGGGCAGTGGAGCCCGCAAATAGTGTAAGGATCAATCCTTAAATAAGGTTTTTAAGAATAGAATTCTTAACTGTTCATGGGACCTACTGATTATAAAATTAATATTTCCCTAATGATTCCCTTAAGGATTTGCCATTGTGGATGCTCTAAGGCCGAAACAACCATTTTTTCTGAAGAAATATCTAGCCAAGAATATGACGCATGACTATGCGTAAATAAAAGACTCATGAGCGTTGTAGAGAGCTGTGAAGGAAAGATTTGACAACTATAAAGAAATGAATCTCCCTCATATTTTTGAAAAAAAAAAACTTAAAGTTTCATAATTTTCAAAATGTTAAGGAAAATAAATATGCTATCCTGAGAATAGTTTCAGAATTAAAGTATGGGGTTTTTGCAAATTTGACACAAAACTCATGGTCAAACACAAAACTAACTTCTTCTTTTAACTCATCTTTTTTTTGGCCAATGCCATTTAATTTATTTTTTTCTTTTTTTCGAAAATGGCATTTTTACTCTCTCAACCTCATCATCTTCAACTATTTACAACATTGCCATTGCCATTGCCATGAATACTCCCAACAACCTTGTACAACCCAACAACCTTGTACAACCCAACAACCTTGTACAACCAAGGTTTGAAGCTTTTAATGCACTTAAAATTGATACTCATACTCTATTTCTCAATTGTTATGAACTAAAAACAACATCTCCTTCACTTTGTCTCCATATTCATACCAAAAACCCAAGCTTTTGATAGCAAATTTTTTTTGGTTGATAGAGTCATTTAAGCATACAATTGTTGGTGGGTTACTTTCGTTCGATGTTCTGGGTGGTTGGAGAAGACTCTGTGTGCAAAGGAAGTCATCTCACTTAGTTTAAGGTTTGAAATTGAATTTTTTTCCAGATCTCTTCGCGTAGAAGACTTACCCGTAAGTCTTCTGGATGTAGAAGACTTACGGATAAGTCTTCTGGTCAAACGGACGACTTACTTCTAAGTCGTCCAGCTTTGTTTGTTAAAAAAAAAAAACACCAGACGACTTAATTATAAGTCGTCTAGATAAAACGGTCTACTTTTGCTTTTGACCGAATTGTGTCAGATATTTGACTTTTTCTGGACGACTTAAAATTAAGTCGTCCCTGGGAAAGTTAAAATTTCAATATTTTATTAAATCTAGACGACTTACGGATAAGTCGTCTAAGGTTAGTTTTGCAATTCAAAAATAAAACTTAAATTTTTAACTTCTNTTTTGACCGAATTGTGTCAGATATTTGACTTTTTCTGGACGACTTAAAATTAAGTCGTCCCTGGGAAAGTTAAAATTTCAATATTTTATTAAATCTAGACGACTTACGGATAAGTCGTCTAAGGTTAGTTTTGCAATTCAAAAATAAAACTTAAATTTTTAACTTCTCCAGACGACTTAATTAAAAGTCGACCGCTCAGGCGACTTAGATTAAAGTCGTCCAGGATAATCAAAGTCGTCCAGAATATTTTTCGAGTTTTCTGGTCAAACCTTGCTTATTCTGGACGACTTTAACATAAGTCGTCTGATCAGACGACTTCTAATTAAGTCGTCTGGAGAAGTTAAAAATTTAAGTTTTATTTTTGAATTGCAAAACTAACCTGAGACGACTTATCCGTCGACTTAATTTGAAGTCGTCCAGAAAAAGTCAAATATCTGGCACAATTCGGTCAAAAGAAAAAGTAGACCGTTTTATCTAGACGACTTATAATTAAGTCGTCTGGTGTTTTTTTTTAACAAACAAAGCTGGACGACTTAGAAGTAAGTCGTCCCATTTAAATTTCAATTGCAAAAATGACCTCAATGGGCGACTTAGAAGTAAGTCGTCCAGACGACGTTTAGTAAACTTTTCATGAAATTCTCTATGTTTACTAATGTGTTTTATTTTGAATTTTTGCAGATGATTCGTCAGTTACATGCAGTGTATGGAGAATGGTTGTTGAAAGATTGCTGTTGGATTTTGTGGTTGGTGATCTCAAAGGAGCAAGATTGTTTTTATTGAATGAAGATTCAACACATGCTGAACTTGTTGCAATGGCACAAGAAGATTATAACCTGGACATGAGCACAGTCACTGTGGAGATTAGATTCTCATTACCAGCAGAAATGATGATGGCTCCAGACACCCCTCCCATTCATGTTACAAGTGATAGACAAGTTCATAACTTGCTCGAGATACTCAAAACTCATAGAGTATGTCTTTGTGTATCAAGCCGTAGGAAGGTGGGAACGGTTTCAGAGAAAAGGGAAGAAGCTGATGAATGTTTTGAAGATGAAGGTGATAATGAGTTGGTTGGAGATGAAAATCATGATGGGGAGGAGGATGATAAGGAGGAGGATGATAAGGAGGAGGATGATGGGGAGGAGGATGCTGAAATCTCTGTTTGCTCTAATGTTGCTGAAGCGGATGAGAATGGTGAGGATTATAGTGTTTATGGAAAGGTTAGAGATGAGGATGAGGAAGAAGATGGTGATGTGGTTTTTGAAGATTTCAAAGATACATATGCTATTGGAGGAGGACGATCGAATGGTAACAGTATATATGTCAACAAGACTTTTGTTAGCAAGGATGCACTGCTTTCAGAGCTGCGGTTGACAGCAGTGAGGCGTAAGTTCTCCTTCAGAATATACAAGTCAACGAAAATTCTCCTTGTGTCAACATGTCGGGTTAGTGGTTGTGGATGGAAGATAAGAGCGAGTGTGAAACATGGTACAAACACGTTTTAGGTAACAAAATATGTGGAAACACATACATGCTCAGTGGGAGACCGAATCGCTCAGCAGAGACACTGTACTCCCAAGTATGTCGGTAGGCTTTTCATTGATCGTGTTGGAATCATTGATGGGTTGACTCCGCAGCATATCAAAGATGCAATGAAGAACATGTTTGGCATGGAGCTTGATTACACCACTTCATACATGGCACTGTTATATGCACAAACATTGGTGAGAGGAACAGCAGAAGATGGGTATTCGCATCTGCCATCATATCTCGAGC